GGGATAATACCATACAGTCTATGGATAATACACACACGCATAGAGCGGGATAATACGCAGAGCGTCACACCACGTGAAAGTGAAACCTGAGCGGTGAACTCATTTTCGGCAGCCAGAATTTCAGTACATCTCTAATTATTGGTGACATTAGAAATGGATATTATATAATAGCTGCTTTTTTGAAAATTTTAGCAATTTAAAAATATAAAAAACTATTTTTTACACGGCACCCCTGCTCTCGACAGACCCCGGTTTGGAAACACTGTTCTAAATAATGCCGCGAGTGGGGCTTGAGGAAGTGACGTCGCTTGCGTCTGCGCAGTGCGACCTGATGCAGCCCCTGAAGCGAGACACAGGAAACAGAAATACTGCAAATAATAATAATAACGAGACGAAATAACGTTATAACATTTCGTTTCGTCTCGTTTTGGTCAACAAAAATGAAGAGACATTTTAGCATAGTTTTTATTTTGTAAACCACATTTAGTCTCGTTTTTATCGGTCAACGATATTGCATTATACATTTAATTATAGTCATCGTCACATGACCAGCATTTTCGTCTCGTCTCGTTTTCGTCACGTGATAAAGGTTCGTTGACGACGATATTTAGTCATAATTTGTTGACGAAAGCAACACTAATAACAACCAAAAAAAGAAGACCAAAAATATAATTCAACAGAAGATAATGGCTGTGGTGAAGGAAGCACTCAAATAATGGTGAGCAGTAATCTACTTTATTTCTTTTATCTTTTATAAACTATTATCTTTATAGTTTAGAATGCATAATAACTGATATTGTACTTCAGGAACTAAGACCTGTGGGAGTGCTGGAGAAATCAAGTGTACCAAGTCCTCTGTCTCCTCAGCCATGTAAGAGATCTTCAGACATAAAGAGATTAAGGAGTTAATCAAAGAGCTAAAAGAAGATTTACAATATTAGTGCCAATTCAGTATGAAAACAGAAAGAGAGCTGAGGGAGTGGAAAGGTAATGAAATCTAGTTATATCAGCAATTATTCTCAATGCTTAATGTCAGCTCTCAACAGTTTATTTTCTTTGATTATCTCTGATTGACTGGAAGGTGTACATTAAAACAATGAATGCATAGATAATTACAATCAGTTTAATCACCATTCTAAATTAATGTGCGGCTTTTACTGTAGCACACACATCCAGTCAAAACGATAGATCTAATGACCTGGAACCAAAAAAACTAATGAAAATTAACTTTTAGTTTTACCCTTCCAGTCAAATTGTACTCCACAAACACAAACCCCAAAATTTGCATTCTGTTATTTACTACGCACCCTCATGTCGTTACAAATCTGTAAGACCTTTGTTCATCTTCAAAACACAAATTAAGATATGTTTGATGAAATCCAATAGCTTTCTGACCCCTCTATAGGCAGCAATGCAACTTACACATTCAAGTTCCAGAACAGTAGGAAAGACATTGTGAAAGTAATCCATGTGACTCCAGTGGTTTAACCTCAATTTTGTCTTCTGTCGCATGAACACAACACTCATGCATTGTGATGCTCTCGTGAATGCACATTATAGATCAATATTTTTGTAAATAAGTTGTAAAATATATATTTTTTAAAATATATATATATATATATTTTTGACACAAACACACGTCACTTCATAAAATTGAGTTACAACAACTGGAGTCACATGAATTACTTTAATGATGTCTTTCCTACCATTCTGGAACTTGAATGTGTAAGTTGCGTTGCTGTCTGCAGGGTCAGAAAACTCTGATTTCTTTAAAAATATCTTTGTTTGTGTTCCAAAGAGGAATGAAGGCCTTACACATGTGAAATGACACAATGGTAACCAATTAATGACAACATTTTTGGGTTAGCTATTCCTTTAAGGGCAGCTTCAACTTAACTTTTTAACCTAGCTTTAACAAGTGTGTATTACACAATTTTAGTGGACTTCACAGAGGCAAACCGTTCCATGTCGGGTGGTTCTTTGCCTCCACCTCATGCCTTAAAATCATGTAATGCACACCTAGTATTAAATTAAAGTATTAAATGAAGGGGGCACATTAACTGTGGAACACATATATTCTATATACTGTATTCCAATTAATATATTTACATATATTTGTAAATTATATATATATATATATATATATATATATATATATATATCATAACATTGATATAATTAATTATATAATATTTATATAACATTTGTGTTGTAATATTATACTATTTTATATATAAATCAACTATACATAATTTAGAGGTGTATATTTTCCAGTACCATGACAATTTTCACAGCTCTTCAAGGCAGAAAAATGTCTTGTTATATATCATGTGTATATCATGTATATATTATACATTATAATATATATAATTGCCACTCCAACTCTCCAGAATGATTTCTCCATCCAGCTAGGTTCTTATACAATTACCCCATCAACTTCGGTCAGAAATCTTGGTGTAATGTTTGATGACCAGCTGACCTTCAAAGACCACATTGCAAAAAAAAGCTCGATCTTGCAGGTTTGCATTGCACAACATCAGAAAGATCAGGCCCTTTCTAACGGAGCATGCTGCACAACTTCTTGTCCAGGCCCTTGTCATCTCTAGGCTGGACTACTGCAATGCTCTTCTGGCTGGACTTCCATCAAGCACAATCAAACCTCTACAAATTATTCAGAATGCAGCGGCACGACTGGTCTTCAACGAGCCCAAAAGAGCCCATGTTACACCTCTCTTTATCTCCTTGCACTGGCTACCGGTCGCGGCTCGCATCAAGTTCAAGACATTGATGCTTGCATATAGAACAGCCACAGGCTCAGCACCCGCCTACTTCCACTCACTACTACGAATTTACATCCCCTTCAGAAGTCTGAGATCCGCTAGTGAGCGACGCCTCGTGGTACCATCACAGAGAGGCTCAAAATCACTTTCCAGAACATTCTCGTTCACAGTTCCTGGCTGCTGGAATGATCTTCCCACCACTATTCGGAATGTTGAATCCCTGACAATGTTCAAGCGACAGCTGAAAACTCATCTCTTTCAACGCTACTCGACTTCATCTTAAATAAAAAAAATAAAATACAAAAAAATGTCTTTCTCTTTATTTATTCCTTCTCTTTCTAGCTTGTACTTATTTGAAAATTGCCTGAAACTTGATGTTACGAGCACTTCCTGTGTCTGTTTGCCTCTTTAAGAAGAATCGCTTTATGTATCCCCTAATTGTAAGTAGCTTTGGATAAAAGCGTCTGCAAAATGACAATGTAAATATATGTAAATTGCATGCGATTGTTATGCGCATCTGGTCAGTAAAGCCGGTTCTGTGATTAGTAGTAAATCTCCATCACGTGCTTTCAGATAGAGTGGCATTTAATACACAGAGCCGTAGATCACTGACAAGCTATGCAATATCGCGTTCATAATCGAAGGCAATTCATCTGCGATTATGAACGTGATATTGCATAGCTTGTCAGTTACTGTTTACAATGCGTGAAATGGTGCGCTGTGATTGGTTGAGCGGATGTATCACATTCTGCGTAAAATTAAAAATTAACTTTTCAATACCGACCAGATACAACACTGATTTTGGCGGGAACTCAATTTTAGAACCAAACAAATATATATATATTTGGGGATGTCGTGGCCTAATGGTTAGAGAGTTGGACTCGTAACCCAAAGGTTGCTGAGGTTCAAGTCTCGTACCGGCAGGGATTGTAGGTGGGGGGAGTGAATGTACAGCACTCTCTCCCACCTTCAATACCACGACTGAAGTGCCCTCACATTGGATGGGTTAAATGCAGAGCACTAATTCTGAGTATGGGTCACCATACTTGGCCACTTTTCACTCATACTGTATGTATATATATATATGTGTGTGTGTGTTTCAGTGGTGTAGTCGTAAAGAAAAAAGAGACGTTACGAGCACCTCCCGTCCTCCCGATAATTTTCAAACATGTAAAAAAAAATCAGATGTAGTCGGTTTAAATTCGTGGCGTATGTGCGGTTTAACCAGAAGATTTGGCGATCCATCTGAAGTTGACCAATCAGAAGATGACAAAAACCATATAGTCTATAATAATTTTAGTTTAATTATACAGTTCTATTTTTTATTTGTTATTCCGAATGTGCCAAATTTGCCATTCAGTTTCATGAACGAATATGCCTGTTGTATTTCTGGCAAAACGAGCAGAAATTCAGAAATGGCCTACTCCCTCGAGTTCTTTATGAAGAACAGAAAGTCCATGCTTTTCTCTGCTTTGTCTTTGTTTTTTTTTTGTTTTTTTTGGGACGTCACAAGCCGCCTGCCACAAAGAAAACTATTTCGTCCTCAGAATCCATATTATTATGAATGGCGCGAAACGTAATGCTTACGTCAGAGTTTGCAAAATCGTAGTAAATTCGTGTCGTGTGTGACTGCCTCCGAACGATTTTCGGATACACTCAATCGTGACATGTGCCAGAGCTCACGACGTTCCGACCTTCAGAATGGCACCGTGTACGCCCGCTTTAAGGGATTATATTTGGGGATCCGTGGCATTAATTGTTGGACAGCGTGTTCTCTCTCTTACAAACACAAAGACTTTATCAATAAAATAGTTTTGGGAAAGCCAGTCATATGCGAGTAATTCACATTCACGCACTCTCTTCTGCTCTCTCTCTTCAGTAACTGCATACGGCTCATTCCTCGGTTAGATCTATATTTTATGTAACGGAGGCTCGGGTCGGGGTGTTAGTAAAAATATTCGAAAGTAATTTTCACGACGTGGCCACACTATCATATTGGGCTTCCTTTTTCGATAGGCTACTAATGAGAGAACGTCTCCACTCAAATCCGTGCACTCACTATTACCATATTTCCTTACGGCGTGTATCCACTGTTGCAGCACGAGAACTTCGCTCAGTGCGGCTCAAAACACGAAGCGCGAGCGACAATGAGCGGCGTTGAATGACAGAAGTGATATTGCACCAATTACAAAGAATCACGAATTTCACACAGCAGTATGGGACACCATTAAAGGGGAAGCTACATGACAGTAGATTACGGACTTGCGAAGCAACAAAACAAGTGGGTATACCGAGGGTATACGCAAATATTGATCCTTAGAAGTCGTAATACGCAAACATCCCAGGGAAAAAAGTAAGCATACGGCGTATACTTGCGTATGGCCCCGACTACACCACTGGTGTGTTTTAAGGTTAGAATTCTGAACAAAAAAACTAAATAATAAAGAGGGAAAATAATTGTGGAGGACTCTGTACAGTATTTAAACATGATTGTGTTTATGCTTTTTTCCAGAAATGCATGTTATTGTGCAAGGGGTAGTTGCATGGACTCAGTGGAGGGACAGAAGCTTCATTATCATTATAAAGATTTTAATTTGTGTTCTGAAGTTGAACGAAAGATGTGCGAAAGGTGAACGAAACACTTGGAACGACATGACGGTGAGAAATTGATGACAGGATTTTCATTTTAGGGTGAACTTTTAACGTCTTTTACCTGGAGTGTTCAAAGACATTGTTAATGCTGACCAATATGCCATGAGAAATGAACTGGGAGTAGAATGAATACTTTTCACAAACACTTGGTGACATCACATTTCAAGATTTATTTTAAGCATACTAATATATGCCTGTGGTGAAAAGTGTAACTGAAAGAATTTCTGATTGTTTTTGTTTGTTTGTTTTTCCAGACTACATCCAAAATAGTGTTTCCACATCTGAGATAAAGGCAGTCATAAGAACCAAGCGGAATGATGAGGATAAGCTCTTCAAAAAATGAAACCTGCCTGAATAATGAGGGAAGAAATGGGCATGATTGCATGATTTGTAAATAAACACTAAATACATTTAGTCTAACTCTCAGCCTGTTATTTTAAGTTTAAAGAAAAGTAAAATAATTTATTGTTGCATTGCTGTTTGAGACATTCACTGTTGTTTTGTACCTTAATTCATTATATTGTAGATGTGTGCAAATAAAACTTGTTATTCTGAATATTCTGGTTGTATTTCAGTGTTATTGTACAGCATTGTATTGCACTTCATGTTCTTGGCATGTTGTACCCTGAGTATGTGCTGATGAATTCTGGCAGGAGATACAGGGTTATTATGCAGGCATAACCAATCGCATTCTCTATAATTACTGATTCCCTTTCGCATTTGTCTTCAGAAATAATAATCCATCAATCACTTCCTGATAGGTGTTGAACGAGAGTAAAGTTAGTCTTTATCATCCTGCATGTCCGTATCTTGTATTCTTTAACACTTTGCTGCCTGATGAATGATTATCTGTCATCAGATGTCTGATCTTCTAAACCTTCATGACATGAGAAATTAGTTCCACTCAATGAACACTAAATATCTGAACATCGAATTCTCTCATGTATTTCTACTCTAAAATCCAACATGATCTTTTGTAACTGCATTTATGGGGCTTTAGTCATTCAGTTGAACAGAAACAGCAAATAATTCTAAATCAGATGGTTTACACTTCTGAAAAATAAATCAGGAGATTTGAGCACAGGCAGTGTTTGGGGTCACCGTGGACTTTGGGGGAGCCCACTTGTTTTTTTTTATAATGGGGGGGGACGCTCAAAAGAGGGCTTACAATGTCTTACATAGATACATTACTTGCTTTATGCTAGCACTATATAGGAAAAATCAATATACAGGATTTACCCTATTATACTTTATCGACACGAATTGATAGGTGAAACAACAAACAGCCACCCACAAATAGTCTATAAACAAAGCATCAGGCTGTCTTTGAGTTCACATGATAATTGATGACAGGATTTTCATTTTAGGGTGAACTTTTAACGTCTTTTACCTGGAGTGTTCAAAGACATTGTTAATGCTGACCAATATGCCATGAGAAATGAACTGGGAGTAGTATGAATACTTTTCACAAACACTTGGTGACATCACATTTCAAGATTTATTTTAAGCATACTAATATATGCCTGTGGTGAAAAGTGTAACTGAAAGAATTTCTGATTGTTTTTGTTTGTTTGTTTTTCCAGACTACATCCAAAATAGTGTTTCCACATCTGAGATAAAGGCAGTCATAAGAACCAAGCGGAATGATGAGGATAAGCTCTTCAAAAAATGAAACCTGCCTGAATAATGAGGGAAGAAATGTGCATGATTGCATGATTTGTAAATAAACACTAAATACATTTAGTCTAACTCTCAGCCTGTTATTTTAAGTTTAAAGAAAAGTAAAATAATTTATTGTTGCATTGCTGTTTGAGACATTCACTGTTGTTTTGTACCTTAATTCATTATATTGTAGATGTGTGCAAATAAAACTTGTTATTCTGAATATTCTGGTTGTATTTCAGTGTTATTGTACAGCATTGTATTGCACTTCATGTTCTTGGCATGTTGTACCCTGAGTATGTGCTGATGAATTCTGGCAGGAGATACAGGGTTATTATGCAGGCATAACCAATCGCATTCTCTATAATTACTGATTCCCTTTCGCATTTGTCTTCAGAAATAATAATCCATCAATCACTTCCTGATAGGTGTTGAACGAGAGTAAAGTTAGTCTTTATCATCCTGCATGTCCGTATCTTGTATTCTTTAACACTTTGCTGCCTGATGAATGATTATCTGTCATCAGATGTCTGATCTTCTAAACCTTCATGACATGAGAAATTAGTTCCACTCAATGAACACTAAATATCTGAACATCGAATTCTCTCATGTATTTCTACTCTAAAATCCAACATGATCTTTTGTAACTGCATTTATGGGGCTTTAGTCATTCAGTTGAACAGAAACAGCAAATAATTCTAAATCAGATGGTTTACACTTCTGAAAAATAAATCAGGAGATTTGAGCACAGGCAGTGTTTGGGGTCACCGTGGACTTTGGGGGAGCCCACTTGTTTTTTTTTATAATGGGGGGGGACGCTCAAAAGAGGGCTTACAATGTCTTACATAGATACATTACTTGCTTTATGCTAGCACTATATAGGAAAAATCAATATACAGGATTTACCCTATTATACTTTATCGACACGAATTGATAGGTGAAACAACAAACAGCCACCCACAAATAGTCTATAAACAAAGCATCAGGCTGTCTTTGAGTTCACATGAACAACGCTTAAAATGTTACTCGTCGTCAGGCTACAGAAGAATACCATAATTCCTCCGTTCAGTCAGGCCTACGACATCCAGAGTCACGCAGGCCTATAACAACCCAGCCACAACACATAACTGCGAATAACACGCCTTACCTTAACACAGAATCGACCACAGAGTCCAGCGTTTATATGTTTTCTACGAATCTTTGAGTTAACATGTCCTAAACATGAGTGGAGTTTGCACCGCAGCGCCCCACACCTTGATGCTCATGACAAGAGTAGCATGTATAGTTATCTTTATTGAAGTGAATTAGGTTTTAATCGTCGTCATGCATGAATGAATGATATTTTTGCAATTTTACACATAATAATCCACGAGGATCACATTACACAAACCTGAAGATGCACGTCAAAATAACACATTGTCAATATTTTTGAGACCCCCCAAAATGTCACAAATCATGTTTTCAGGGGAGCCCATGTTTGATTAAGAGGAGCCGAGCTGCCTCTAGCTCCCCCGTAGTTCACACCCTGAGCACAGGTAATATGTGCATTTACTACTGATGTTATAACTGCAAATCTGGATGAGGAAGTGTCATTTTAAAGGTTCACTCTGCAGGATTTTCATCTCTGTATAGCCATGAATCCATACTGGACATCTAATCATCCCATTAAACAATAACAATAATAATAATTAACTGACACTGTCCCGGTGAATTAGTGTACAACAGAGGGTGGTGAAGTCCTGTCATGAAGTGTCTGTTTGGCAAACTTCATATATTCTGAGTCTTAGGACAAGTTAAGTTTGATAAAACATGATACTATCTGAAACCATCGTACTAAACAGATCATATATAGATGGAGCTGACAGTCAGCTGATAGTGATCATATTTCTGTAACGCAGACAGAGAACAGTCAAACCACAAAATAAACCATTCATAAAATCAAACACATGAAAAAATACTATAGTAATTTAGAGTAAATAAATACTATATTGTTTTATTAAATTAATGAATTTGTTGTGGTAATTCTATAATTGCTGTGGTAATATAACAACTGCAGTCATATAAACACATTACTTTACTCAATACTGTACTAAGTTTATATTATATTAAACTACAATACCCTACAGTTAACAGTAGTAAAAGCTAAAGTATACTACAGTATTTATGACTAGTTAATACTGCAGTAGCATTCATTAAAGTGCTGTAAATACTATAATATATACAGTATACTACACTTTACTACAGTATGGTTCAAAAACACTACAGTATTTATTATAAGTTACTATAGCATTCTTTGATGTGGGATGTTGCTGAAGCTTCTTCTAAAATCCAAACACTACATTTGCAGCATTTATCAGAAGTGTGTATGCGTTAGTTAATGATCCCGGGTCCTCACTGGGTCCTGCAGGCTTTCGCTGGTGTTCGAGCTGTACGTGTTTCCGGTGCGACTCAATGAAGGCTCGACGCCGACAACGCGTCATTTACCCGCGACGAGCCTGCGAAGAGATGGCTTCGATGCAGAAGGGGAAGAAGGTGGTAAATCAAGAGGATTTACGGCGGTTTATGAAGGAGAAGAAACTATCGAGCGAGCGACAGAAACGCGTCGACTCGCCGCACGCCAAATACAACAGTGTGGGTCAGCTGAGCTGCGCGCTGTGCAACGCGCCGGTGAGGAGCGCGCTGCTCTGGCAGACACACGTGCTGGGAAAACAGCACAAAGATACAGTCAGCCAGCTGAAGAACAGAGACAGCACTGAAGCATCTTCATCATCCTCCGCGCTGAAGAGGCCCGCGCCGGAGCCCGCGTCTACATCCGGGAAACGCGCGAAGCTGCCGCTCACCGCAGGCGCAGGTGAGACTCGAACCTTCAGCGTCACAGTCATAAGATCTATCAGCACGTGTTTCATACAGGTGTAAACCACTGCTGCCAACTCTCGCGAGACAAATAAGCCACCGCAGCTTCAAAAACAAGCCCAGTATTTGTTTGATGATTTATTATCACCAACATTATTTATTACCAATAAATGAGCCTGCTACATATTAAACTGAAGCCACTCTTTTATCTGAAAAGCAAAAGCAGAAGTTATTTGACAAAAATCCGCAAACTGCAACAAAGTGAGAACAGAACTCCTCAGCAGCTTAGAGAAACACTAGAGCTGCAACATAGCCACCTATTTACTCTTAGTATTAGTGTAGGACTACTTGTTTTCAGTACAGCCCGATGATGAATACATTACAAAAACATTGTAAAAAATGAGGCTAAAAGAAAGCCATCCCGCTCCTCTACGTCTGCTTCTATCATCGCTTGGGTTGCAGCGTCTTATTGAGCCTGATGTCCTCCAACGAGGCGAGGAACATCTGGCAGATTACGCTGCAGCACTGATAATACTGCACTGGTTGGCTGGTAACTGCGAGCAGACGGGGTGTCCATCAGTGCACTGGAGAATACGGCAACATAAAGAAAGAAACGAAGCTGCTCGTCAGATTTCCCTAACAACCATATTTTTAAAAATAAGCCCAAAAACCTCACCCGGGATTTTTCACACAACTTTACAAAAAAAGAAGCCCAAAGTTGCGTATAACACGCGGACTTGGCAACTCTGGTGTAAACGGGGTCAAAATGCCTGTAATCTGACCTTTGACCCCACTCAGAATACATTTCTGCATATAGCCTAATTATTCATCTGTCTGCTCTAGAAACGTGTTTATTTTTCTTCCGGTTGCTGGGTTCAGTTGAATATATCTTAATGTAAATATCTGAATATATATCAAGTAGATTTTTTAGTTTCAGAGTTTTCCAGAAGTCGCTCGTCCACACGATGATAATGAATACATTACAAAAACATTGTAAAAAATGAGGCTAAAAGAAAGCCATCCCGCTCCTCTACGTCTGCTTCTATCATCGCTTGGGTTACAGCGTCTTATTGAGCCTGATGTCCTCCAACGAGGCGAGGAACATCTGGCAGATTACGCTGCAGCACTGATAATACTGCACTGGTTGGCTGGTAACTGCGAGGAGACGGGGTGTCCATCAGTGCACTGGAGAATACGGCAACATAAAGAAAGAAACGAAGCTGCTTGTCAGATTTCCCTAACAACCATATTTTTAAAAATAAGCCCAAAAACCGCACCCGGGATTTTTCACACAACTTTACAAAAAAAGAAGCCCAAAGTTGCGTATAACACGCGGACTTGGCAACTCTGGTGTAAACGGGGTCAAAATGCCTGTAATCTGACCTTTGACCCCACTCAGAATACATTTCTGCATATAGCCTAATTATTCATCTGTCTGCTCTAGAAACGTGTTTATTTTTCTTCCGGTTGCTGGGTTCAGTTGAATATATCTTAATGTAAATATCTGAATATATATCAAGTAGATTTTTTAGTTTCAGAGTTTTCCAGAAGTCGCTCGTCCACACGATCAGGCCTGAAAACTCTTAAATCACTGCAGTAAACATCATAAACGCTCACTGAGATGATTCAGAGAAATCTGGCTGTTCTTCTGGCACATCCCAGCGCTCACTGATGCTCTAAACCTCTCACTGCAGCTTTATTAAAGTGAGCCGCACACACCACTGATGTATAGGAGTATAAACACACGTCAGCGTTTCACAGTCAGACTAAACTCACATTGATCCATGTGGGAGAGGCCGTCTCGGTGTTGATGACAGGCTAAAACACAGGGAAGAGGTGCGTCTTCAGATGCAGGTTCAGGTGTGTGTTTGAGCCTCTAAACGGCTCTGGTGTGGGTCTGTTTGAGATGAATGAAGTGTGTGTGATGTGAACAGGTGCCGCGGGAGGACAGCCGGAGGACACGGCCTCGTCTTCACGTCAGTCTGCGGGTCTGGGGCTCCTCGCTGGACTCTACGGTGATGATGATGATGATGATGATGAAGAAGCTAAAGACGGAGTCCCGGCAGATTTCTTCGACAGCAGCGTCTCCTCCGTCTCTCACTCCGGCTCAGTGTCCAAACCGGACGACGGCGAGGAGAGCGCCACGGAGAGGAAGGACCACGCGGCCGAAGCCTTACCCGAGGGCTTCTTCGACGACCCGGTGCGCGACGCTAAAGTGCGTCAGGTGGACACGCCGCGAGACCAGATGGACAAGGAGTGGGAGGAGTTCCAGAAGGAGATGCGGCAGGTGAACAGCGCGTCTGACGCCATCGTCGCCGAGGATGATGAGGAGGGACGCCTGGAGCGGCAGATCGATGAGATCAACGAGCAGATCGAGTGCTTCCGGCGGGTGGAGGTGTTGCGCACCAGACAGGAGGTGAAGAGCGCGATGGAGAGAGAGAGACAGCAGAGAGCCGAGGCGCAGCCAGACGCCGGCGAGGAGGAGGAGGATGAAGAAGAGCTGATGCATGTGCTGACGCAGGACTGGAGGGCCAAAGGTGCTCTCGCTTAACACCTTCAGTGTTTCTCTGATGTTTCCAGTTTTGTTTGCTACTGCTTCTGTACAGAGATTTATTAAATCAGAATGCATTGTGAAGTTTTCATAAAGCACATGCGGTTTGTCTGTAGTTCTGCAGATGCTTTGATCTGCTGGTTTTTCTCCGTCTGATTCCTCACTCTTTATCTGTAATCATCAGAATGGCCTACAGCTACTTCACAACACACCTGCGTTATTATCAGTTCAGAGCTGGACGAGGACAATATAATACAAACAGTCAATATTTGTGGTGTGCAATGAATGATGATAAAACAAAATGTATGCGTATATTTTATATATGCAATTATTTTTTTATTCAGTTGACAGCCGTAATATACACACTTTGCATTAAGAATTAGGGAGTGTAAACGTTTGAACAGGATGAAGATGTGTGTATTTTGTTAGATATTGTTTTCATACAGTACTGCCCTTCAGAAGACAAATAATATACTTGCATAATTCCCAGAAGACAAAAAAGATCAATGTCTGATCAGCGTTAAGAAGAGAACGATCGGCTCGTCTGATGATTGAGTTTAAAAGGAATCCTGACAGGTCGCCAATAAAGATCTGATAATAATGGGCTGTTATGCTCATATTTCTTGGTTTTAGTAATGCACTCGACTGCATTCTGAACAGCCTCGCAGAAGCAGATCAAACTTCTTGGCAACCCTAACATCACTCGATATCTTTTGTGTTCCTTTGCAATGCCTAAATAAAGGACAAGAACAAACAGAAATATATCTACACAAACTTAAATAAAATGAGCTTTTATTCATGTTACATTAAAGAGAACATGCAAAACACATGTACATGTTGTCTGATCACACATATTCCTACTGCTTAAAATTAGTTTCATACATAGAAATGTCCAGTTCTACAATCTGTACAGCTTTTATCTGGTTTCATGAAGCGACAGTAAAGTTTGAGACATGATTTCCAAACGTCTGCAGCCCAACACAAGCGGAGTGCAGAAACCATTCACTCCACGCAGAAATAGATATATATACACACACACATTCATGATCTCCATCCTCACGCTGTTCCTCTACAGATCAGAAATGCTTCGCACAAGCAATTACCCTCGAACATTACTTTAAATTAAAAACTAAATCTGATAAAACAAGTGCACTGCATTATACTCTTTTAAATATCTGATGATTATATTTACTAAAAGCAGTTGTATGGATCATATTATTGCTAGATCTGACAGAGCTTCATTTCCCTCAGTTTATACAGACGTCAAAATCATTCTTGAGACATAAATATTTAAATATGTAAGAGTGAATCTCGTGAAATCGGGTCACACTTCAAGAATCATGGGAGTATTTGTCGAAGAAAATGAAGCCTAACTGTATTAAGTCTGTAAGAGGCATTAATAGATGTGAAATAAACACACGGAGCATTTTCTCATGAATTTAATGCATCCAGATTTTTGCTTCTGATGGGTTTATAATAACTATTTTTACAGGTGAATCTCATGACAGTAATATACCAGTTTACTGTATTATCAGATTGATTTAAATCAGCAGTACAAGAAAAACGAGCATGATTTGTCATTACAGGAATGAGACTCAGGCTAAAACTGCATTAAAACAACGTCAGAAATTCACAACATCTTAATTTTCTTTTGGTAAGATATACGTCCTTTGATTTTGTGCTGATTTATGGCCTGTTCCTGACAGGTGTGTGAGATGAAGGCGTCTGAATCATTAAACAGGTGAACGCGGCTGTGATTATCTGATAATCCGGCGGGTTATGGGTTTCGTTAAGGGTTTTCAAACTACTTGATCAAACTCCGCTGAGCAGAACAAACACATCCAGTGCGTGAGGAGCGACTCTGAGGTCAGTCAGTGTGTAAACCACCAGCGTCGGTGAATCAATGAATCTGACCGAGGCCGCTGTACCTCTTCACTGACGCTCGTCATCAGGACTGACCTCCGCAGCATGCAGCTCCTCCAGCGAGTCTCGCTCCGAGACCAACACCTCCTTCAGCTCCTCAGGGGCCAGAGACGAACGGCCCCACAGCCGCTGCTCCACATCTGACCGCAAAAGAACAAAAGCATTCAGACGTGAGTGAACAGGTTATCTGGTGGATGAATGAACATCACAAGCACAGGAACTCAACCAGGTCACGTTTAACCTCAAAATCAACAGAGCAATGTAAGAAATTAACACAAACACATCATGGCCATCTATAGTGTCTGACCTGAACCATGAGCTGGAGGATCTAGTTTAGATAAAAGAAACGAACGTAATCTAGATTTTTTAATTTCGAGCTGTCAATTTAACATCTTAACGATCATCTGACTGCGTGATTGAGTCTATTAGAGTGCAGTGATGTGAGCCAATGACTCATTCATTAAAAGAGTCACTTGCTTCATTTCTGAATGAATTAGCCATCTGAACAAATCAGTTGAAAGAATGATTCAATGACTCGCTCATTACGACAGTGGCTCGCTGCCACCTACTGACGTTTTTAGTTTCATATTTAGAATATAATTAAATTTTTATAAAAATAATTTCAATATTCAATTAAAAAAACATGAATACCCATTTATTATCATTATTTAGGCAATGTTGAATCAAAATATTTTGATTCTAAAGCTACTTTTTTGTAATGTCTATTCGATGCTTTTCTCAAAATAATGACTTTAAATTGTGTTTTTTGGGATAATTCTCAGCCAAAACTGATGTGCAATTAATTAGATGAATTAATTGGCACATCATGTAATTAATTTGATAAAAACTTTTAATTGCTTGACAGTTCTAGTTTTTGTATTTTGTGCATATGTCACGTCATTCCTTCAGTGGACTCCTGTGAACAAGAAATGAGGAAAATAAGACTAATAAGCAGCAGTGAGCGAGTTTACGCACCTCTCTCAGACTTGACCCCGGGAAACGCCACGGTGCTGCGGGAGGACATCTGTGCTCGTTTATAGCGTCTGCAGGACAGAAACCTGGGGCGGCGGGAGCGTGAGGAACCTGGAGATCAGAGGAAACACACATTACTCATCACAGCTGTCCTGAGTCAGCGTAAGCTCGTGAGATCTGGAGCGGCACACATACCAGTGTCTGCAGCGGTCTGAAGAGTCTGGAGCGGACGGCCGGCCGGCGGCGGCTGCGGGAGATGAACAGCGGTCAGTTATCAGAGAAACAGCTGCTGACTGAAGCTCTGTGAGGTGCTCGTGATCTCAATTCGATGCTTTTCTCAAAATAATGACTTTAAATTGTGTTTTTTGGGATAATTCTCAGCCAAAACTGATGTGCAATTAATTAGATGAATTAATTGGCACATCATGTAATTAATTTGATAAAAACTTTTAATTGCTTGACAGTTCTAGCTCGTCATTCCTTCAGTGGACTCCTGTGAACAAGAAATGAGGAAAATAAGACTAATAAGCAGCAGTGAGCGAGTTTACGCACCTCTCTCAGACTTGACCCCGGGAAACGCCACGGTGCTGCGGGAGGACATCTGTGCTCGTTTATAGCGTCTGCGGGACAGAAACCTGGGGCGGCGGGAGCGTGAGGAACCTGGAGATCAGAGGAAACACACATTACTCATCACAGCTGTCCTGAGTCAGCGTAAGCTCGTGAGATCTGGAGCGGCACACATACCAGTGTCTGCAGCGGTCTGAAGAGTCTGGAGCGGACGGCCGGCCGGCGGCGGCGGCTGCGGGAGGTGAACAGCGGTCAGTTATCAGAGGAACAGCTGCTGAATGAAGCTCTGTGTCGTGAGATCTGGAGCGGCACACATACCAGTGTCTGCAGCGGTCTGAAGAGTCTGGAGCGGACGGCCGGCCGGCGGCGGCTGCGGGAGATGAACAGCGGTCAGTTATCAGAGAAACAGCTGCTGACTGAAGCTCTGTGAGGTGCTCGTGATCTCACCGTGTCTCCTGAGGAGCTCTGGTCCAGCGCTGACACCCATCTGCTCAGGTTAGACAGCACGAATCGCACGCTCTGGATCTGCTCGCTCGACCACGACTGATGGAGCAGCAGAGAGCTGTTCAACTCCTTCACATCATCCTGAAGATACTGCAGGTCCTGTCACATCAGCATCACACACTTGTGAAATGACCTGTGATTGCAAAGCCACGTTTCTACACACACTTTTCCTCTGGATGAAGCTCAGAGTGTAAAGGCCGTCAATGGTTTCTATTTACAACTTCTGCATGTTCATAAATGCTTTCATCATAACCAGCAAAGTATAAATCGGATGTATAAGTGAATGAGAGATGCAGTGTGCAGTGAACAGAACTGACTGACAGCTCCAGTGATTCACTTTCCGCACATCTGTGTATTTCTGGAACAGGTTCGGTGGGCGGCTGCGATGCTGACCGTGATCGATGTGTTTAGGTGCGACACAGTGACGTCTGAGATTCCTCACAACACGTCTGGCAGCGGACCTCAACACACGAACGAGCGTTTACACTAAACATGTGGTGTGATCACGTGTGTTTCTGTGCTTTCAGTGATCTGATCCAATCACAAAACTGACTTTGACCTTTTCAAAGCTATATTTGTAAGTTACATGCTAATATATTAATGTATTTACTTATGTATTATTATTATAATTAATTATGAACTTATTACCATGACCCTACAGGGGACAAATGGATGGATGGATGGATGGTTCTGATTAGTTCTGAAGCTGAGAATGAATCATTAAAAGAATCAGCTCAAAGGAGTCAGTTCTTTGTGAATCGGACTACACTGATGTGGTGTGTTTGTTTTTGTGTGCAGCTTGCGAGAAGGATTGAAGGACAGAAGGATTGTGTGGTCTTCATTTATCTCAGAACATTCAACTCAGGCTGCAAAATCACACGCAGAATTCGGGTAAATATAACGCTGGAGATTCATGATCACAACAGAAGTGTTTCTCATGAGTTTACCTGCTTCAGCGTCACACAGCTGCTGCTGATGTTCACCGGCTTCTCTCCATTCTTCAGAAATCAAGAGAAAGCATTATAAATCAGCCTCACAGTGGACACACATCAACACAATTACTCTTACTTCACATTATAAGCAGACACTGATATGAAGCACATCTCAAGAATCTAAAGCTACTAGCATGTTCTAAGGTGAACTAACCCTTAAACAAACAATAAAATACTGTTTAGTAGAAAGCAGTGTGAAACATACGGCCTTCAGCTGATCTTCTTTCCTTCTCTCTTCCACGACAGACTGAATCATGGTGACGTCGTGCTGGACGCTGGTGACGGTGCTGCCGATGCTGGCCACGCTCTATATATATACACACACACACAGATCAGTGTGAGCTCACATCTGACACACACACACAGATCAGTGTGAGCTCACGTCTGACACACACACACACACAGATCAGTGTGAGCTCACGTCTGACACACACACACACAGATCAGTGTGAGCTCACGTCTGACACACGCGTGTGATCTGCCTGAAACACACCTTCTGCAGCTCCTCCACCGTCCGCGGCAGCGCGATCAGATCAGAAGCAGATTTGATGTTGGCCTTCTGATGATTGACCGCAGAATCCAGAGCACTGAGCTGAAGAGACAGCAGCTCAACATTAACTTCAATCACACTGACATCTTCAGATGAGATCACGCAACGATTCATCACGTGTTTCAAAACCAAACTACAGTGAGAGGAAAACACAGAGAAGCGTGTAATTCATCTTCTGACGCACCTTCTGATTGATCTCGGTCAGATTGGACCAGAGTTTGGCCAGGCCTTTGTCTCCGCTCTCAAGCTCGTCCAGTTTCATCTGTTTGGCCTTCAGGTCCTCACTGAGCTTCAGGATCTCGTGAGATGAGAGCTTCTGACTGCTCTCCACTGCCAAACACCAACCAAACCATCATGAACATGCTTTCTGGTCTAACCAGTGGGTTAATGCTCTCTCAACATGAAATAATTCAGGCTGGTGAAAGTGTCTCTATATGAGGGTGGCTGATGACTAAGAGTGAATGACGGAAGAAGTGGAGATTATTATTATGAAGACTAATGTGCATTGCTTTGTAATAATGTGGCTGACGAATCGTTCACCATTACAGCAGGATCGTTAGTCGAGTAAATCAGCTTGATTTCATGTCTTTCAGCAGCTGTAGTGTGCGCAGACGTACTAGTGTGCATCTTCTCCTTCATGGAGTCCAGGTCCTCTTTGAGGGCGATCTGCATCCAGATGAGTCCAGCGCAGGCCATGACACACGCCGCCAGAAGCACGAACACACACAGCGGGTAACAGAGCGAGCAGCACCGCAGCGAGCTCCTGCAGAACACACAACACACTGAAGCACAGACCCAGCAGTCGCCGACGGATCACATCTTTAATATTCCCTGATATTCCTCTGTAACTGAAGCCAGCACTACTCCTGTATCTCGTTCTCTCGGCTGCATCACATGACTGCCATGTTTGAAATCGTTCGTTCCTATTGGCTAGAAGCCGACTGCAAGGATCTGCTTTTCTTTGCAGATGTTGAGTTCATAAAGTATTTCAAATCAATATTTTGTGTCCAGTTTTGATGTATGTGGCAAGTAGGCGTGTAATGAACACTTCAGGTCAGTCCTGCTTTAGCTCCTGTTAACTACTAGCCGGCTGTACATTATTATTATTGCTCAGAGTCGTTTCTGTGCCAGATTTCCCTCTACGGTGTTACAGACCCCGTGCAGCTACATCTGAGACAATGACAGCGGAAATACTTTCTTCCTAAAACAAGAAGTCCAGCGGACAGGACTGATCATTCCTCACTTCAACAGCATTTATAGCTCTGAAATAGCCAGACCTCTTCTAATGAACACACATCTGTGCTGTAGTGCACGAGTTACCAGCCGCCTCGCCGTGTTTCATTCATCCTTCCCTGATCCATCTGCTCCATTAGACACAGAGATAACCCACTGGATGCTCTGTTTGCTAACACTTCAGATGAGTCACTAGTCGCTTATTAACATGCACATCATGTTTATTAGTGCTTATAAAGCACATATTAATGTGTTAATCTGCATGATCATATACCTACAACAACCACCTTACTAGGAGTTTGAGGGAAACCTCGTGGTTAAGTGTTCTCTCATCTGAGCTCTTCACAGCAGAGACACAACTACTACACAAGCTGCAATCCTTCACTGCTGCCGAAGAAAGAGAGAAAGACGACATGAAGAACCACGTCAGTATCTGAGGAGTGAGAAGCTCGTCTCTAAGCGCCTGCAGACTGTGCTCTCAGTAAAGCAGGTCAGCTGGCAGTGCTCACTAGCTGCTGGACACTCCGCTGGACACCTCACCTCCCGAGCAGGCCGCTGCGGCCGCCGAACTGCTGCTCCTCGGAGCCGGACTCGGACTCGGGCTCGGACTCCTCGGACTCGGGCGGCTCGGTCCGCAGCAGGCGGTGTCCGCAGCTCTGCTTGCTCTTCCTCCGGCTGCTGTCGCTGAGGCCGATGAGGGCGTTCAGCTCCTTCCTCTTCTTCCTCTTCTTCTGCGGGCTCATCGCGCGGTTTGCCGTCAGGGTGAAGCATTCATGACATTACACCTTTAGTTTAGATTCACTTCCTCTTCCTGTCGCGTCTGAATCTGTCGTCATGGCGCAAATATTTACGTTACACATATATTATCGGTAAAGCATCAGATCTGTCTTCAGAATGAACATCCGGTCCTGACAGGAAGCGCTCCTGATTGGACGAACACAGGGGAGCATAGATATGTATAGGTAGATGCCTCATTCGGAAGCGCCATCTTGCAACGGTCAACGTGACGTCCTTCACTATAATAATAAGTGCATTTTCGAACATGCCGCAATGCTGCACAGCCGCTGGCTGTAAAAACCGCAGGGAAACGGGATAACCTTTCCCATGTGAGAATGCGAGAGAGGGGCGGAACCATTGATATGTAAGGATTGTGGCATCTTTGAATATACATTGATTATTATTATTATTATTATCGACTGAGGCATCTACGTATAGAGCTATGCAGGTGGGCGTGTCGTTGTGCGGCTGACGTCATCGGGAGGTGACGCGCTCTATGCGCCTTTCCAGAGCCATTGATCAGTGTTGTTCCTGATTACATTCGCGTTAATTACACCGCTGACTGTAATTACTCATCTGAACATAGATGTCAGATCATTTGGCAGAAAGCAGTTGTAACCCTCTGACGGTATTTCTGGTGTTTAGAGGAGAGTCTGATGTGAATCAGGAGAGAGTGATGCTCTGCATCTCTGACTTCTGTGCTTTTGTCTCTGAGGTGGGCTGATCTATTTGGTTAAATATAACGAGCTCATTCAGACGAGATCCAGCTGTAACCGCTCAGTAACTCTGTTCATGTTCACAGCTACATCTCTTTAATTCATTGGCTTTATGCCAGTCATCTGACGTGAACATCACGAAGCAGGGCTTTAATAAAGCCTGTGACAGTCCCACAGCTGATGAGCTGAAGATCTGTCCTCACAGCGAGACCTCACCCTCAAGTCTAAGCCTTCAGTAAAACAGATGAGAGCGGGTCATCCTAAAACATGGCCACTTCTCTAAGCAGCATCAGTAAAGCCAGCAGAGCTCTGTAGGAGTCCCCAGCATGAGCTCACAAGCACATCTGCTGCAGTACTGGCTCTTTAATGTACTGAAGTATTAAAAGTACTGGTCGGTGACTGTTTTCGTCTGAAGTCAAAGTCAGTTTCTCAAAATAAAAATACTCCGATAAAGTACAGATACTTGATAAATGTACTGAAGTACAGTAACGGAGTAAAAGAAAAGCTTTGTTACTGTCCTCCACTGCCATTGTTTCCAGTAGAGGAACATTCGCCACAGAGCCAGCAATACTCGCTGTGAACAACCTCAGGTTTACTAGACCTAGAGCACTCGACTAGCAAACAAGAGGAGGACACACTGTGTGAGTGCATTAGTTCAGGCTTGGAGTGCTTAAAGACAGGCTTTATCCTCTGATCTGATGAGGTTTGCAGCTTTCTCCAGAGCAGCAGCTTAAAGAGGCTCTGTGACTCAGAACTTTCTTACACGGTATGATTATTCAGGCTTCATACAGCCGTATTAGCCTGAACCTTTGCTTTAAAGCAGCAATATTTATGTTTTGTGATATAAAATTATTCTATTGCATGTACTGTGATATGAATGTGATTTTATGTGTATGATATTTACAGATTCAGTCTGTTCCACTGCAAGGAAAGTCATACGGGTTTGTAACGACTTGAGGGTCAGAATACACTATAAATAAAACAAAATCAATGCAACACTTTGATTATTTATGTTTTATTGATGATTGTCTGAAAGTTTGTGGCACATAATTAGAAAAAAACAAACCCAACTGCATAAGCCTCAGTGCTGAACAGAAGGTTTGAGGGGTCTGTGCAGGTTTAGCGCCCAGTGTCTTCACATCTCCAGTGTAACTGAGCTCAGAGTCGCTTCGGTTCAGTTCAGTTCTCACAGCATCTCAGAGGCGGTTGCGCGTGGGTCCTAACCCCGGCGGGGGGCCGCTGCACTGCGGAGGCTGCTGGTGATGTTGGGAGCGTCTGGAGCCGCGCTGATGCTGGGATCTGCTCTGCGTCCAGCGTTTCGGAGCCGGTAACGCCTCACACAGATGAGAACACGTGGTGATTCCGCAGAACAGAGTCTCATCGGCCTGCGAGGAGCCCTCAGAGCTGCCGTCGGACATCACGTCTCTGCCGTCTGGACGAGGGCCCGTCTCCAAACCCAGAGGACCGATGGTGGTCTGGGGAATGCCGTCTGCGAGCGGTGGAGCAGCCAGCGTCTCTGGACCTTTGCTGAGCTTCACTTTGTGCTTCTTCTGTAAGAAATAGAAGCTGACTGTAAAGATGTTGCAGTTTTCCAGGATTATTACACCTAAAAACCAAAGTCTACAACAATGCATCAACAATGAAACACCCGTCGTACTTTTCTACTAACTTGACAATCTTCCCACTGCTTAAAGCTGTTGGTTTCTCCTGAACCGCCTGAAATAGAGCAACAATAGCCAGAGTTTTACATCCACAGCAGGAAAAACATGTTTGTCTCTGTAAACTTCACGGCCAACAGTGTGTCTGATCTCTAAACAGCACAGCATCTCAACACACATGATCTGATGAGGTTTGATCACAGCACTATCTGCATGCATCATGAACTCACCGTCAGGCGTCTGGAGGGACGAGAGTGACAGCGGATCAGAGGCTCTGCGTCTCAGCAGCACGGGTTCATCATTAGACAGCTCTCTGGAAACACAACAACATCACATGCTCATTCAGGCACAGATCACATCAGTCCTGCAGCAGGAGCTTGTCACTCACACACAGCCGCTGGACTGTAAAACCCTGACGGAAGCGTTCGTCTCCTCACCTCTCTGAGCAGCAGGATCTCTGGGAATCGACAGCAGGACTCTCTGATATCTGACGGTAGTTCATACAGATCAGCAGCCACAGAAGAACACAGAGAAGCAGACACAGCAGGATGTAGCTCTGCCTGTCAGACACCTGCAGAACACAGCAGCAGCATCATCATCATCACGGCTCTCAGCCACAGGCTTCTCATTCATCCATCTCGGTTCATAAAGTGCCGTCATTTCTGAACAGAGCTGCACAGTCTATCAGCAATCAATGTGTTATCGGCTGATAGCTGGGAAAATTCAGTTATAATCAGCTTTCCCCGATAAGGGAATTTGCACTGATATTTTCAGCGATAATTTCTTCTGGTAAATTTGTGCTAACAGAGAATCTGTTATCTCTCATGAAAATCACTTCAACATCTTTGCACTGCAATGCATTCATTGTTAGCTCGTTTTAATCATAATCATCTGCTGTAAATAAAGATATGATATTTTAAATATTCTGTTATGCATCACAATGAAACATGGTCCAAAGATGTTGAAATGATCCTCAGAGCGACACGAGACACAAAACACTAGTGTGATATAGTTTAATAAAGCAGCATAATATCAGTTATACAGTCACACTGCTTCTGGTGATCAGTTTTTAATTAAAAAAGCAGCTTCATTTCAGTCAGAGATATCGATGGATCTCTGTTCCTGCAGAAGTGTTTTGTGATTATTAACTGACAGTGAACAGGCTGATCACCTCTCGCTGCAGTCGACTCACGCTGACAGACAGACGGAGCATGAGCTGCGTCATGTTCTCCAGCTGAGCCTGCAGAGCCTGGATGGAGTCCGTCTGCCTCTGATCCTGAAATCACAGCATACACACGGCTCAGAGAAACACAGAAACATACGACAAATCATCTGCTGTAAATAAAGATATGATATTTTAAATATTCTGTTATGCATCACAATGAAACATGGTCCAAAGATGTTGAAATGATCCTCAGAGCGACACGAGACAAAACACTAGTGTGATATAGTTTAATAAAGCAGCATAATATCAGTTATACAGTCACACTGCTTCTGGTGATCAGTTTTTAATTAAAAAAGCAGCTTCATTTCAGTCAGAGATATCGATGGATCTCTGTTCCTGCAGAAGTGTTTTGTGATTATTAACTGACAGTGAACAGGCTGATCACCTCTCGCTGCAGTCGACTCACGCTGACAGACAGACGGAGCACGAGCTGCGTCATGTTCTCCAGCTGAGCCTGCAGAGCCTGGATGGAGTCCGTCTGCCTCTGATCCTGAAATCACAGCATACACACGGCTCAGAGAAACACAGAAACATACGACACTGAGACGGAGAACAGGAAAACAGAGTCCAGTGTGTTGATGCTGATCTTCATGTCATCATGTCTAAACACACTCTCCACAGGAGGAACCTGGACTGAACAAACTAATCCAGATTTGTTTGAATGAATTTAGACTTGAGACGTCTCTGACCTGCTCCTCGGCCATTCTGGAGGTGTTCTGAAGCTTGATGATGGTTTTGTTAAAAGCTTTCTGCATCTCCTCCACCTGCTTTCTGTATCTGGACCAATGAAACAAGCAGATTCACTAAAGGGAATAAATAACCAAAATCTCATATCACATTAACAGTATACATTACAATAGAGTTATTCTGAGTCTCAGTGGGACACACCTTTGGCTCAGCTGCTCCAGGTAGCGTCCGCTGAGCGACATGTTCATCTCCAGCACCTTGATGCGATTGTTGAGCCTCATGAAAACAGACTCTTTCTGATTGGAGCCGTGCGCGTGCACGTCGCTGGAGTTCTGCATTTCCGTGTAGATCTGCTCAATATGAGCGCTGCTTTCATCATCGAAGAGCTCCTTGCGTTTGGACTCTGCTGACCCTGTGAACCCGTCTAAGGGATGAACGGGATGATCCGGCGTCAGCGCTTCACGGGGGATCGCTGGTTCATCCACAAGAGCGGATACAGAGGAGAGCTGAGACTCGTCTGCTGTATTCATGGAAACAGTAGGAGTTGAAATGTCATTTTCAAGGCTGACCTGCTCTGATGAGACCGACAGCAGCTCAGGAGCGACCTGATCTCTCCTCAGTGCAGCAGAGGTGGTCATGACGTCTGAGAGCGTCTCAGGATTGGGTTTCTCGCTGGACTCACTCAGACCATCAGTGCTCTGCTGAGGAACTGTGGCTGTAAGGCACTCTGTGGCAGACGGACACATCAGCTCAATGGGCTGCGTCGCTCTGGAGGACAGAGAGTCAGCAGAAACCAGCCTGAGCAGATCTGAAGTCAGACTGGGAGCAAGATCTCGGGTGTGAATGACAGGACTCTCCGGCTCCTCTGTGACTGTGGATATAGCTGGGGTCATGACGGCTGGAGCAGCGTGAGAACGTGAGCTCGGCTTCCTCTTCTGGATAAAGTCTGGAGAGAAGCAGCGCTGCAGAAGGTGCTCTTGAAGCGAGACTCTGTGTGAACGGGAGCAGGCAGATTCAGAGTGCACTGTGTTTTCATTCACATGATCCGTTTCAGACTCGTCTGTGATTCTCCCAGAGGACCGATCCGGCTCGTCCTCGGCGTCGGGCAGCAGAGTGACGATCTGCTCTACGTCAGGCGTGGTTTGGACCGGAGCGTCTCCAGCAGCGTCAGTGAGCGGCGGGGTGCGTGCCGCTGCCGTCTCTTGAGTAATGCTGGCGGTTTCTGTGATCCCGACAACATCAAGCGGATCCGCCACCACAGTCACTGGCCTGAACAGAGAAAACACCTTTAGCTGTGCTACATGAACAGGTCAATCCTGCACCGCCCGGCGGGTTCTGTCAGATCAGTGCGTCACATCTGTCAGCATCTGGTGCTGTGGGTCGGCGCTCGATTTCACTGATTGAACAGTACTGTAATCGGTCGACTGTCACCGATGGCCTGTGTCTGTCTGTGCCATGTAAATTAGCCTCAACATGGTGCATTAACATAATATGATGTAATATGGGCTAGACTCCAATATTTACACTCACCAAATGCAAAATCCAAAAGTAAAAATAGGCTTCAAGTTGAGTTTTGATCGACTGTCGATCCATAGATTCTGCTTCGTCACAGGTTAAGAGTCTGGGTGTTGTCCTTGATAGCACAACATCCATGTTAATAACTGGCTCTGTATATTTTCATTTACATAACATCAATCATCTTCGTCTCTCTCTTACATCATTCTCACACATGCACTGGTCACTGATTACTGCAATGCTCTCCTCTCTGGTCTTCCTTCTAAATTTCTTGATAAACATCAGCTAGCCCAGAATTCAGCTGCATTAGTTATTTCTAGAATTTCCTGTATTGAACACATTTCTTCAACACTTGCACTGGCTTCTGGTTAAGTATAGCAGATGTTGATTTTTACCTACAAGGCTCTCAGTAATCTGACTCTCAGCTCTCTGATCCTCGTACTCTTAGATCTTCCTCATTCACTGTTCTCGTACCATCATGTATTCGTCACTACGGAGACTTTAGTTTTGCTGCCCCTCATTTATGGAATTCTCTGGATATTAGAAACAGTGTTAGTCTTCATACTTCTAAATCTCATCTCAGAACTCACCCGTTTATGACTGCGAAAGACTATCCTCCAGTGTCTGCTTATTATATTATACTTATAGTCTTATAATGTTGTTAGTATTGAAGTTTTCTAGGATGATATTTGTTATAAGATTGTAAGGTGACCTTGAGTGCTATGAAAGATGGCTATAAATAAAATGTTTTTTTATTATTATTACTATATTGTTGGCAGCTTTACTAGGAGCTGCAACATTACATACCGAATGACAGTGTGATTAAAAAAAAAAACACCATCTAATAGCAAACATTAATGAGCACTCACTCAATGTCTTAATGGCTTTTACCATCAGACATTTCTGTGGGATGCTTACATGTGCCCTGCAGAAAGTTTCCCAGAAAGAACTACTACATGAAAATGTGAGGAACGAACGTGTGAAAGGTGCCACTTCAGAGACAAATATTGAAAATAACATCACTAAAAATAAAGCAAAATATGATTTCATGTCTGTCACGTACCAAGTGGATGCAGCGGTGTGCATCGATCCAGGAGGGAAAACCACTTCTGTCATGTTTAAGCCTTCAGTGGAAGAGTTTCCTGAAAAACAGAAACACACTCATGATGAACAGACGTGTTATTAGGTGACATCAGGAGGAGGTGATGCGGATCAGACCTGCTGTGGTCTCTGGAGGTCCCCCCAGCACACTGGCAGCAATGTTGTTGACCATAGTGAGAAGAGCATCTGAAAGCACAAGACATCATTAGTTTATCCCAGCGGCCGTGGCACGTCTGCCGCCTCCATCAGTCCTCAGGATCTCACACACAAACACAGCTGTGAATGATGATCTCACTGACCTTTGGCAGATCCGATCAGGTTTTTGGAGGATTTCTCATCTACTGGCATAAAATCAGGAGGCTGATCTAAATATTCAGACAGAGATACGACACTGTTGATGCACCTTTGACACCACCTTCAGACTGAAACGAACAGCAGTTTTCCTGCAGACAGTGAGCGTTACCGTAATCATGCTCATCTTGAACGTGCGTCTGTCTGTCTGATGGCTCGGAATTCATCTCATACTCCTCCATCATACTAGTGCCAAAAACCCTTCAGAAACACAGTGAGAGGCACAGAGAGTGTCAGCATTCACTATTACTGTCAATCACACCGTCACTCAATATCTGAAAGGTCGAGGTCTGTTCAGAGCAGCATCAGTGAGTGTCTGAGTGAGTTTCATCAGACCTGATCAGACTGAGAGGACAGAAATGTTCTGAGCCGAAGTGTGACAGCAGCTCCACCTGCAAACAAGACAATACCTCACTTATTCATGTGCGTTCGACAGAGCAGCAGTTCAAATCACACAAACATCTGAATGTTAGCTTTAATCGTCACTTGCTGTCAGCTGTAAAGATCAGCATCTGAAGCAAAACCAGGCTGAGATCAAACGAGAGAAAACAGCACAGACATTCACACACATTTCACTCGTCTGTGATGTACTGGTGACGTAACTCATGGAGAAACCTGCTGGGCTGATCTGTCTAACCCTAACCTAAGCACGAGGACTCAACTACAGGGATTGAGCACCAACAAAATGTTGACATGCTGCTATGAACCATGGGATGACATTACAGTGTCAAATCACAGAAGATGAGCTTCTAAGGAAGTGTGTTCAAACACCAGTCCACTCAAAGCATTCATCCACTCAGAGTAAAGAGAGAACGGCTAACCTTAATGTATTTGGAGAATATCTGATGAAAGAGCTGAGACACAGACTCCACTGACCTCACACTCTCGCTTACCTTGATGTATTTGGCAAACAGATGCTCATCCAGAGGAAAACTCTGCACCGTCCGCTCATCTCGTGCATGAAACGTCCCGAGCTTCACCCACTTTTTGTTTGGATATCTGAGCACAAACAAGTTCTGAAACTATCATAAACATACACATACAAACAGATGTGCTGAATGTCAACAAAACACAGATTTAACAAAAATGGCATTACAAAACATTTTTTTATGAAATTCAAAAATAAAAAAGTAAATGCATAAATAAAGAGAGGCAGTCTGTAATAGAGCCCATAAGTGCTGACCTGTCACTGATTGAGACTAGGAAGTCTTTGGGGTTTGAGGAGAAGATCTCAAAGTTAGCGATGTCCAGCAGCTTGACCTGAATGGGCTGACAGAGCTCAATGATGAACCTGTGCAAACACAACGATGAAGACCACAGAGCTTCTGCTAAAATCACCCATCACTGCTGACAGAGTACTCTTCGTAGGGCTGGGCAATATAGCTAAAAAATGTATCAACGATATAATGTTTCATATCGTTCGGTATCGATAATTATTGACATTTTTTCTAACCTTTTTTAAAACAAAGAGCAATAGAAATATCTTTTTACATTTAACCACTGTATTTTTAAAGTAACTCAATTTTTTGAGACAAAATTAAAATTAAACATCTCATTTCTAATTTTTTATATGCAGATTAAATAGGTTAAACTTTTGCCTTGTCTCCCGAGGCCACAGGAGGGCGCAATGAGCAAAATAATGCAGCACATTTCAATTGTCAATGCAAGGAAATAATAGTCTATAAAAAATGTGCATTACGTCTAAATTAACTCATATAAATCAAATATAATTTCGTTAATTGCATAAACAATTATGAAAACAGCATCATGTATTTATGCACTGCTTAATACAAAGAGCCGAAGCGCCGATCACACTGTCTGCATTTAAAAACATGACGCAGTGAAAAGGCATAAACCTCCACAAATTTGCGATGTGTTTTCTAAAAGTTTAGACGGTTTTAACTTTGCATGTCTACATCTCTTGTGTGAGACGCGAGTGCAGCAGTCATATTTGTCCGTCTAAAAATGCACTGAATATGCGTTCTGTATGAATGGCTTGGTTTCGGTTTTAACCTAATCAAGATCTTCTCTGCACTGAGCTTTGCATATTTTTAAATGTGAACCAGTGGATCGACAAAAAGCTAATGCATTATAAAAATCGAAACAATTAAGACACTAAGATATATTTATATGTTATTTAATATAATAATTAATTGATAATAATTGTTTAAATTAATATAATAATTGATACTTTTGACTCATCCCTTTTCTTAAAAAAATTGTTTAAAGGCTGAAATGTGAAGTGCAGATCTTAAAAAAGGTCTTACTATCCTTTTAGGTTGTTTTGAGAATGTTCTGTAGGCTACTAATAAAAAAAGCACCTCTGTATATGTGTTTGTTGCAAATTTACAGACAATGCAATTGAGATGTTTACATTGGCTTGTCGAGGTAATATTTCTGTCCACTGACAACAAAGTTTTCCTTCTGAATTGGCATAACTGCACAAGTTTTATACTTAATACAATCTTTAAAAACAAATTACATTAGTTATACTTTAATTTCCCTCAATAAAACATCCGTTCTAGAAAATGCGCTGAATATGCGTTCTGTGTGAATGGCTTGGTTTCGGTTTTAACCTAATCAAGATTTTCTCCACATTGAGTTTCTATATTTGTCTAATATTTTGAATGAATAACACAGCAGCCGCGCGTCTCGTGGGCTAGACTAACAAAGCATTAAACTACAACGTCACTTACATCATCATCACCACATCTCGTGCTCCACTGAAGACACTACCTGACGCACACCTAACATTGGATTCTACTATCTTTGCATTCAAATGCAAATGTTTATTTTAAATTCGATTAATATTCATTCTTTACTCACAATCTCCTCATCACAGGCAGCACAGCACTCATGTTCATGTTTGTGTGTGTCACTCAGAGCACGTGCCTATATTGTGCACTATATCGAATATTTTTTATATCGTTATCGAAGAAGGTGTACCGTCGATAAATATCAATACCGTTTTATCGCCCAGGCCTAACTCTTCGTTTCATTAACAGTCATATACAGGTGCATGAGGAATAACACAGATCCTGCTCTTATCTGTCTGTCGAGGTACTAAACAGGATGTTTATTTTAAATTCGATTAATATTCATTCTTTACTCACAATCTCCTCATCACAGGCAGCACAGCACTCATGTTCATGTTTGTGTGTGTCACTCAGAGCACGTGCCTATATTGTGCACTATATCGAATATTTTTTATATCGTTATCGAAGAAGGTGTACCGTCGATAAATATCAATACCGTTTTATCGCCCAGGCCTAACTCTTCGTTTCATTAACAGTCATATACAGGTGCATGACACAGATAACACAGATCCTGCTCTTATCTGTCTGTCGAGGTACTAAACAGGCTTTTGTGAGTGGAGCGATGCTGGATTTAACACTGCAAACATGATCATCTTCAGAAAATAATCACAGCCACAAAACAATTATCACACAGAATAGTTTTGCTTGACGTTAAAGCAGTCTAATCAGCTCACCAGATCTTGTTATTGCAGGGATTCAGCATGTACATGTCCATGTTCTCCATCAGAATAGCTGAAGTGCTCTGGAAAATAGAAATACAGCACGATTCATCATGCTTTCAGATGCTTAATCGATTCTCTTATTGACCTGATTTAGACAAAAACGTACATAAGACATGAATAATATTCTAATGAAAAACACTACAATGTGTAATTTTGCTTTGGTATCCAGTCCCTGTCTCACAGTAACTCAGTGACAAACACAGACATGCTGATGAACCTTGGCTTCGGGGTTGGAGGACAGGATCTTGGCTCCACACTCCACGGAGGCGTAGTTGGTGACGGTCTGCTGCAGCTTCTTCCCCGCAGCGAGGGGGCCGTCAGAAAGGTGTGTGATCTGACCTGATGGACAAACACTGTCAGCGAGAGCAGGACTGGCGCTAAAGCTCCTGTCACAACAGAACTCACTCTTCTCGTTCTCCACCTCCAGCATGATCTTGGTCCACTCGGCGAAGGTGGGGATCTCCTGCTCTCTGCAGGGCATAGACGGGTCACTGTCTGCGGAGCCGCTGGAGCCCTGCACAGGTCAGTCGACAGAATCAGATCATGTCCAGCACTGTCATTTCATACAGATTACATTTCTAATGACACAGTGTAGACTAGAAGGAAATATGCTGACTTTTGGTATACATTTCCATCAGTTTTTAAGATTAATTTTTCATGACTTTTGCAGGTCTTTCACTGACAATAGAGACGGCTGAAATAATGCCATAATGCAAATACATCTACTCATCTACTGTGGTCATGTGCGCAGCTGTGAGTCTCACAGGAAACACCACCTGATCTTTCAGGATGTGGGAAGTGTTGGTCCTGTTCCCGGTTTGGTCTTTAGTGGGTTTTCTCGACTCATGGACACTGATGCTCTCTTGAACCGCTGGAAAACTTTCATGACAGACACAGATGATGAAAGTCTCAGACTGAGAAGGAATCAACTTGTCAATTCTGATTCTTTCAGATGAAAAGACAAAAACGATTCTTTACACTCATCTCATGCATTGATCAGACGTTCTCAGAGCTGTTTAACTGAAATTCCTTACCTGCTGAGCTGAGGGTCGTAGCGGAGCTTTTCTGCAGCGTCGCATGCAGCTGTACACGCATCTGTGATGCCGCTTTCAGCAGAGCAGGAGTCTGAAGCTGTGCAATCCCTGAACACACATACCACACGCCACATCAGTCCATCGCGCACACACGCACGCACGCACACAAACACACATCATCACGTGTAGCATGTTCACGTGTCACTATTCATGTCAAACTCGTCTGCTGTCCATCATAGAGTTCACGGATTAAACTGACACAAACGTCTGCAAAGAATCTAATTAACCCAATCACAGCCGCAGAACCAGTTTAACCAGTCTGACCCACATCACATCAGTCACTGTGGAGAAATGAACGGAGAGGTTTCTCTGTCCTGCTGATCCTACTAACATCACCTGTAAAATCACTACGGTCTCAGCAACAGACTTTACTTTGCAGAATTAATTAAAAGAAAAATCTCTGATCACAAGCACGAGTCTCTATGTACAATAACCAGTCAATACCACAGCCTTGATCTGCTGGAGCCCGTCTGCTAGAGCAGTGAATACACTCATTCACCAGCAGACCAGAACACACACACACTCTCTCACACACACGTCTGGCCAGCTATCCTTGTGGGGACTCTCCATAGGCGTAATGGTTTTTATACTGTACAGACCGTATATTCTATTGCCCTACACCAACCCTACCCCTAAACCTACCCCTCACAGGAGACTTTCTGCTATTTCAGATTTTCAATACACTCCATTCTGTGTGATTTATTAGGTTGTTTACCCGTGGGGACCTCAATTTAGGTGACGAGTCCCCATGAGTCTGTGTATTCAGGTTTAAGTCCCCACCAGAAAAGAAAAACAGGTACACACACACTCTATCTATCTATCTATCTATCTGTAAGGCCTATAAATCTTCAATCTTAAGACCTTTTAAATTTAGTAAAAATTCTAAACTTTTTGAATTTCTTTGAATCCTAATTCATTTTAATTCCACTCCCTTACATTAAACTACAAATTCCATTCTACGTCATGTTTGCTACGTCGGTTCACATTCAGGATTGAGGAGTCTGAATGAACTCCTGATGAGCAGGACTGACCGGCAGGAGACGCACTCGGACGAACCGCACACATGAGGGGCGGCAGATACTGGAGTGATGTGTGTGATCCGCGAGGACACTGAGGAAGACTCCACATCACTGATGAAGATGTTCTGCTCATCGCTCCCATCAATCACCGGCTGTTAACAAAACCACACACAGACGACAGCTGTAAGTCACTGCGGAAGAAAACATCTACATAAACATACATGAGGAGAATCCATTACATATATTCGTAATATCACACATCATATATATATATATGTGCGTGACATTATAACAGCCTGTAGCAGCACACGTGTGACTGACCTGGTGACTGACCGCTCGTGTGGTCAGTGTGTGTGTGTGTGTCTGCTCTGAACAATGGCCATGTTGAACAGGAAACCTGCACAGAGAATAAATTACAAAAACACTAGATGAGCAGATGAAGAGGATTTATTTGCATTATGGCATTATTTCAACAGTCTTACAGTCACTATAGTTCAGGGCCTGAAACAGACTTAATTTACCTTTTGTAAAGTACAGTAAACTGAAATTATTGTTTTTCTTTGAGGTGAACCAAAATATAACAATAAAAATACAAAAGCTGCCATTAATAGGCATTTCAGATTAAATATGCTGATGACTTTAATGTTAAAATTACATGATATTGAGACACAAATCACATTCACAGAGCAGATATTAATCTAATGGAGCTTCCCCTGATACAGCAGTGAACGTTATTCATACACAGTGCTTCCTGTTACTCGTCTCTGTGAATCCAAAGTTCATCATATACAGATACACGTGTCACAATCACACACAGAATATCACTCACACACACACACACAGAATATCACTCACACACACACAGAATATCACTCACACACACACACACACAGAATAACACACACACACACACACAGAATAACACACACACACACAGAATATCACACACACACACACAGAATATCACTCACACACACACAGAATATCACTCACACACACACAGAATATCACTCACACACACACAGAATATCACTCACACACACACACACACAGAATAACACACACACACACAGAATATCACACACACTATCACACACACACAGGTGTTGTGATAGAAACCACGCACTGAATGGCTACCATATTCATCTACTATGTTATGTAAAGTGTACCATGGCATTATTTGAAGTTCTTTTGATCACGTGTCCGAAAGAGCTCACTCTATTAGTTGTGTAATACATAAACACAGAACATAAACACAACGCTTCATGAGCTGCGAGTAAAGAAACAAATCTGCGGCCCGTCAGTCTAACTCTACTGATGATCATACACATTCATAAACATAATCAGATAATATTCGCCAGTGAATCAGTGACGCACCAGCAGCAGAGTCCCGACACCGAGCACAGCAGCAGCAGCAGCGGCTTCATCCTCCTCCGGCCGAGACACGCATCGCTCCTCAAACTAACCTAAGCTAAGCTAAGCTAAGCTAACCCGCTCCTCAAACTAAGCTAACGCTGCCAGAGGCGACGGTAATAAACGGCTCCTCGCCCGCGACACGATGGACTTTACACCGGCCGCGCAGCTGCATCTCTCACACACGCTGTTCGTCTCGTGCGAGGCGTCAATAAACTACACATCATTATCCTTCAGTGGCTGAAATACACACGAAGACCCGCCTCAGTCTCTATAAAACGATGAATCATCTTCCCAGCAGTCAGAGCGCTGCTCCGTTAGCCTGTGGGAAATATTCTAGAGCTAAACAAGGATACTAACACTACTGAAAACACAGTGCAGACTCGAAGAGAACTGGAGAAATATTATTTCAAACCCATCGTACACACCAACTGTGCCGCCATTCAGATGCGCTTTCGCACTTCCTGTTTTTCCGGTTCTCTTCCGGTTACAGGCGGAATGACGTCACCGGCTCTCCCGCCATCTGCTGTTAGCGTGTTTTGCTAATGTATTAGCATAGCTTAGTGATCTATTTCTACTTTAACCAGAATGACATCAGTGCCTATTAACATATATGGATTAATATAATGTACCATGTTACCACGTACTAGCTTTGCTCAGTGAGCACTACCTTCTAGAGCTTGGGTCAAATGACTGTAAGGTCGTCCTCAAACCCAAGCTAGGTTACATACCTAGAGTGCTCTCTACTTCATTCAGCACGCAGGTCATCACTTAGAAAAATGTTCATTTTGTAGATGAACCTCTGAAGAACAGACACGTGTCAGGAGTTATTTCAGATCAGTCTATTCTCAAATCAAAATGTTATGAGCGACTGAAATTAGCAGAACAGCTTCTTTGTGAAAAACATGAAACAGAAAACTGGGCTTTTAAAAGAAAGTTTATATCACCGTCCACATGAAGCAAACAGGAATTAGACACTGCAAATTCTCATTTTATTTTATTTTCCATAATCGATTTTATTTCATACATATAGAGGTACAGTACATCAAGCCATAATGAAACACAGAAAGAGTGAGACGCTCCTGTTATTTCCTAACTCTTCCCACCGCTGTTTTTCACCACACTTAAAACTATTCTACTTTCTGTTGGAAGAGTTTCTGAGAACACATTTCTGAAGAGTAAATAAACAGCTAAAGCACATTTTCCAGCATTCATTTTCAATACCATCATATGAATATATTATTTGAATGTGTAACTGCTGTTTAAACCTCAGATCTGCTCTTAAACAAGCGCTAGTCTCATCAGCTCACTGACAAAGGAAAAGTTCCTAAAATACTTCATTTGTGCATAGCTATAGTCTGAGTGACTAACAGTAAGAACACAAACACCCGTCTGATGAACAGAAGTCAGAGAGAGATGTTTCTGAAGATAAAGTGAGTGCTTCACCGTCATGATGCTCTAGCTGCAGGTTTCTACGCTGATCTGAGTTGTTTTTAGCATGTAACTCTCAGTATAACATGTTCAGCTTCCCTTGCAGTCTTGAGTTCAGCACTCATTGATTCGGATGCTGCGCTCATGAGAAATCCTGCTTCATTCAGTCTCTGTCCCTGCTCTCTAGCTCCCGTGTGTTTATGGGAGTAAACGGCAGCTAGTTTCATCCCTTCTCAGGGCAGTTTAAATGTCATCAGACTATTAAGTTAAATACTGCATGACACACCATTACATCCATCTGAACACGCCTCTGATTCACAAACATCCATATATTCATGTTTATAATAATGAACGTAAAAATACATCAGTGTTTCCCAAGAGTCCCTGCATACTTCTTACATTCCTTATTTAGTCCTTTTTAGGAATGCTATAATATTATTTTCAAATGAAGAGTTTGTCTTGTAATTACTTAACATGAGTACAGTAAATGAACATCATCAATGCTTAAATATCACTAATCCAATGAACAGACCGATAGAAACGACACAAAACTACTGTCAGATTTATTGCAAAGTAATGGGATGATGTTCTGGATAATTGTGTTGTATTTATCTGAAACACATACAGTACATAGAGCTGATTTTCTACACAGCAGAACAGGTGTATACTGTAGTTCCAGGGACTTTGGATTAACTGTCAACAGCTAGTATGGCAAGCAGGTGGCGCTATTCAAGAAGATGAATATATTTCATATTTTGGTGCTCATATAAGTGTTTGCAGACAATGACGACTACAGATGTAACAACAAAACAGGCAAAACGGACGTTCACAACTAAGAGAAATAAAGTTCTCTGAGCATTTTTAATGACAAACAACATTAAGAAATAAAAAAATTAATAATTTAAATGTCAAAACCCAAATATCACATAACCTTAAACTATTTTACACGTTTATCTTTTAATTTAGCCACAAACACACACACACTTCCCAGCTTACACTAAGATATATCGCTCACATACTATGGTATAATGTGACAGAAGTATGTGGACACACTTATCAACAGCCTAAAATAAACAAACATGCATTGCTAGAAACATCAATGCAGTGCTGCACGCTTTAAGGAATGGGAAGCACAGCACTGCCACGAACGATTCACCACAGAACAGAGAGGTTTGGGTGAAGACTAGAAGAGGATCGCATGGATGAGACGCCACGTCTGAACCAGACTGAACCACAGGCACTGACAAACAACACACAACCAGCACTGCTATCAAAGACACCAGCACACGAGAAGGGAAGCATCACTGGGACATGCAGGGATTCAGAGCTTTGGTACGGGACACACATGAGAACGCTCTGGAAAAACAGCCTCTTAAGGGGGAACCTGTCTGGTCGGGGAAGGTGGAGGACGACGGCTGTGTTAGAAGAAGAAGAAGAAAAAGAAGAAGAAGAAGAAAGTGGTGCATGAGAGCAGAAGCGTTGAGGAAGGCAATGGATGGTGGGGCGAGAGACAAAAAGACAGAATTAGTATCTGTAAGCAGTGTAGCATTATAAGACACGTTATTTGCTGATGTGTTAATATATATATATATATATATATATATATATATATATACATACAGTATGTGGTCACATGAATGTTGCTCTAGTACTGGAATTGCACTTTAGTGTTCTCATGAAAACTGGTGCTACTAGTGTAGTGCATGATTGTAGCGCGTCTAACAAAGGTATGAAAACGGATGAGAGACGAGTGTGAACGCTGGAGTAAACGTAGCTACACAAGCCTGGTTTCATGCAACGTTACATTTGTCAAAACACAATTCATAAGGCAAGTATGTACTGCACTCTCAGCATTGCCTCCAGGTTTGCTATAGTGAGCATTAGTGTAAAATCTCTTCTTCTCCATCAGCTCAACCAATACTGAGCAAGATTGTTAGAGTTAGGGTTAAGTTTATATCTAGCTACCTGAATAATAACACATCTGATTTAATGACATTTGCAAGAAACTTCCTTTTACTATCAAGCTTTGTTTACGCCACAGTTGGGACTATATTGTACAGAATGTGCACTTATGTGTACTTGCCAAAGAAAGTAATGTAATATAAGGTAACTACGTGGGTTAAGGTTAGGTTTAGGGGTAGGTTCATGGTTAGAACCTGGTTATTACCCAGTTATTTAAATTACTATATCAAGAACATGTAAATAAACTATACACTTGCAATGCATTGGCCAAGCATTCGAGCATGTGTTTGTGTACCTGCGAGGAATATTTTAATATGACTAGAAATGCATGTAGTAAGTAAAGAGATGAGAGGAGTGAGAGAAAGGCACAGATGAAAGGGCTGGTCTCACCTGGGAATGCTGGGAGGCGCTCGGTTGGGCCGGCTGGGAACCTGTGGGCTGTCAGCGCTGTTATTCAAGGGCCCCAAGGGTCCGGGGCGAGACGGAGGCGCAGGAGCACCTCTCCCAGCGGGTCTCTGTCCCGCAGACATCCGGCGCGGAGCCGTGGGGCTCGGAGGAGGAGACCTGCAGAAACCAACAGAGACACTCACAGCAAAGAGAGAGGAGGAACTCAACCCTACAGCAGCAGCAAACTACACAGAACTCCAGACAGAACGGCTTCCACTGGCTTTCTGTCACAGAACAATCTGGCTTCGTTCCACACCTGAAGAACGCAAGCGATTATGGTGTTTGTTGGTCGACCTCCTCACTTCTCACAAGCTCCCATCGAGGCTTTCAAGGATGAAGCAACCAATGAACCAAGCCAGATCCACCCTGAACTGACTGACCACCTGGGAAAGGCCTGATAGTCATAATCAGCCGTTTAGGGTTCACCCTAACCCTAACCGTTTCTAGTAGTCCGGTTCAGTCTGAAGTGGACATCCATCAAACACTGCACTGCTCTGGATCCTCCTGTGCTTTACTCAGATCAGACAGAGAAGAGGTGTTACCTGCGGGAGCCGGCGCCGGCGCTCAGCCAGGAGTTATCCACCGGCGGAGGCAGCGGTGTGGAGATGGTGGTGGTGGAGATGTCTCCGATGATGGCCAGAGCTTCTTTCAGAGCGTGGTGTGTGCGCAGAACCTCCTCGCGCCGCTGCACCTGCTCCTGAGACTCGTCCATCAGAGCGTTCTGATCTCCAGCCGAGTACAGCTGCGCCAGGAGCTCTGCGTTAATGAACTCCTTCACCTGCGGAAGACGACTGATGTTCATTAGTCTGATTATCATGACAACACGCTCACTCGTGTCTTTCCTCTGCTGTGGCCTCAAAAATATCTGGACACTTGAGCCACAACTAAAGATGTAAGCATGTCTTTACAGGATTCAACAGCATGCATGGTGTTTATTTTCACGACACAAACACGCCTTTTTAAACATTTACAAGTAAAGTTGGTTAGGTTTCATGAATATAAAATAGTGAACTGGACACAGTTTTTGCCAAACGTTATGTTTGTTGATAGTTAATGCTCTGAAGTACACCAGAGCAGAACTGACCACGAGAGCAGCTGCTGAGAAATGAGTGCGTCACAGAAGTCAAGTTAGGTTTGAGACCAGCTCCAGCATCATTCGAGCGCAGATTCCGTCTGCTTTTACCTTTTATATCTAATGCAATGAAGTTCAGACATGTTTAAGTGTGACTAATGTCCAAACACTTTTTGGGGCCACTGTACTGTAAGTATATATTAGTGCTGTCAAAATTAGCGCGTTAATGCATGTGATTAATTTTTTCAGTTTAACGCGTTAAAATATTTAACGCAATTAACACAGCACAGTCTTTACAAGCACATGAAATGGGAGACTTTCAGACGCGAGTCAGCCGTTATACTGTGATCGTAGCACATGCTCTTCAATATCACACACAAATACTTTTTTTAGTGTTTGATAACGTTATTCAATTTCTGTATATTTCCTACTTGCTGAAGGGCACAGGTAAATATGACATTTATTATAATGGGTTTATGTGAAGATTGTTTTAAGCTCATTTAAATTAGAAGTTATTTTTTAAAGTCTAATAAATGTTAAAACGGGCAGCTCTCAAT